ACTGTTTATATACTAAGTTTATGTAGCGAACTGTTGATGATAGCTAAACTGATTATGTACTAACTGCTTTATCTACTGACTGTTTATATACTAAGTGTTTCATGTAGCTAACTGATTATGTAGCTAACCTGTTTATTACTAACTGCTTTATATACTAACTGTTTGTGTACTAACTGTTTATGTACTGACTGTTCATGTACTAACTGTTGATGCACTAACTGTTTTAGTACTAACTGTTTATGTACTAACTGTTTATGTACTAACTGTTAATCTACTGATTGTTTATATACTAAGTGTTATGTACTAACTGTTTATGCTTACTGACTGTTCATGCTACTAAACTGTGATGCACTAACTGTTTAGCTACAACTGTTATGTACTACAACTGTTTGATTTGCACTAACTGTTTTAGTAGTAATGTTTATGCTACTAACTGTTTTAGTACTAAGTGTTTATGCTTACTAACTGATTATGTACTAACTGGCTTTATGTACTAACTGTTTATGCTTTACTAACTGTTTATTACTAAAAACATGTTTATGTACGTAACTGTTTATGTACTAAACTGTCATGCACTAACTGGATTTATGTACTAACTGGGGTTATGTACGTAACTGTTTATGCTACTAACTGTTTATGTACTAACTGTTTATGTACTAACTGTTAATGTACTAACTGTTTGTGTACTAACTGTTTATGTACTAACTGTTCATGTACTAACTGTTGATGCACTAACTGTTTATTCGTACTAACTCCTTAATATACTAAGTGTTTATGTACTAACTGCTTATATACTAACTGTTTATGTACTAACTGTTTATATACTAACTGTTTATGTACTAACTGTTTATGTACTAACTGTTTATATACTAAGTGTTTATGTACTAACTGTTCACGTACTAACTGTTTGTAGATGAAAGCGCTTAGCGCGCCGGCAGCGACAACCGATGCGTCCAAGATGGACAGGAGAGTTGAATCTTCCGCGGCTCTCGCCCGCACTCTGTTCATAGTCTGGGTCGTGTTCATCGTCAGCTGGTCTCCGTACATCATGATCATACTCTTCGAGAGCAGCACGTCGTTCTGGCCGTCGGCCTACTACATGTTCGCGCGCTTGGGAGTGACGACGAACAGCTGCGCGAACGCGATCATCTACGGCATCACGAACAAGAACTACAACATCGCCTTCCGTAAACTTCTCCGCCTCGATAAATGCGCGATGCGAGGTCCCGCTGGCACGCGAGCGACATCTGCCGGCGGTGCGGCTCCATCGTCGTCGCAGGGTTCGGTCGGGTCGTCAATGGGAACGCAGATGACGCGTGTTGATGAGCCGAGTACTAATTCAGCGAGCGGGTGCTTACGCAAGTGCTCTTTTCAAACGTATGGAGAGTGATGTATGCATATATTATATTGGGTCGCGTGTAAAAGTTTTACCAACGACGGATGTTGTAGGAATTAAACGCACGTTAGATTAATGAACGTCTGGAGTTAAATAAACATATATATATATACCAAGAGCTAATAATACATATACCATAATTAGCTACATTAGCTACATTAGGTATCATTAGCTCTTGAGATATATATATATATATATCTAATATATATATATATATATATATATATATATATATATATACACACACATACATGCATTCATATATATATATATTATGTGTTATTACACTGTCATTGTCAAGAAAATTTAACTGACAGAGACAATATATAACTTTAGCAATATCGCATGATATTGATCACAAACATTTGTCTCTTGTATCCGATTATTCTGTATCGTGTCGGGTGTTTGGCGAAATGCACAGGTAAGGTAACCTGGCTACGATAAATGCAAAAGAAGCTTGCTTGCCGAGATACTACGCGCAGTTGTGTTAGTTTGGACAACAACGATAACAACCCATTCACCTGATACGAATGATTGCACCGAGAGTGAACAGAAGCATCACTTATAACAAAAACGTTCGAAACGATCATCTGATGTTCTTTTAGAAGAAAAAAATGAGAAAACCCCCTATTTTCTTTGCATGCGCCATGGGAAAACGGACTAAATGTAAATATAAATATACCGTTCATGACTGCACGCGTCGGTTTTTTCTCGCTGTTTATACCGGTGCGTTCCTATCTATGCAAAAACGCATACATTATCTTTCTATCGTAATCGCGAACCTGAAGCCAGAGGGAGCGAGAGAGACATGAACAAAAAGCACGCCGGCGTACGCACGCACGATGCAGTAAACTAAACAACGTTAATATGAGCAGCGGATATGTCTATAGATCCCATTCTAGAAGAAGCCATCGTCGTCGAGTTTCTTCACTGAGCTATCACTTTCGCCACTCTCGATTTCTGCCTCTAGCAGCTTTCGCATGTCTTGCTTCTGCGCGCTGGCGCCACGCAAGGCTGTCGGCAGCGCGATAGTCGCAGGTCTGAGAGAAACGAGTCTTGTGGACGGAGCGGATGCTTTAAAGGACGTAACGGGAATACTTTGAGTTGTGATCACTTTGGTGCTGACGGCTGTACTCGCCGGAGCGGGCGCATCGACGCGAGATGTGGCTGCGATCGCTGCCTCCGAATCGTGCTTCTTCTTCTTCTGCACCGACGTCTCCTCGGCGTCCTTCGCGGGAGGTAGCACGGTAGGTGGCGCCACGGTCTCGTTCGCTGCTGCGTCCGAGGACGACGTCGCGCAGGATAAGTCCGTCGATTCATTGGACAGTTCGGGCGACACGTTATTCGGCTCGGTAATCATTTCCAACTTTGGCTGACCGGTTCGATTGCAGAGTATTTTGAAGAGCGCGCTGATTTTGTCATCGATCAGCTGAACTTTATGATTGATAATCTCTGCTTCGCTCTTCAGCTCGCTCTTGATCTCGTAGAGTCCGTGCATCAGCTGCGCGGCATCGGCAGAGTTGATCGTCAGGCCGTTCGGCGAGACGAGATTCGACTTATTCGATTCGGAATCGTCGGCCTTCGCGTCGCTCTTCGCCATGCCGCTGTCCGTCGATTCGGTTTTCGTGAGGCTCGAAATCCGTCGGTTGCGCGCAGCGACGCTCGTAGGCGATTCCGGTTCCTCTTCGATGACGTCAGCCTTGCCGCCGACCTTCGACCACCGGGAGAACACCTTCGTCGTCGTTTTCGGCGGATCCGGTTTCGGATCGACGCTTGGCGCGTCCGGTTTGGCGACGCCGCTGGCCTGCGCGTTTGTCACGTCGGCGACGACCGTCATCTGCGTCGCCGACGCGTCCTTCTTTGCGTCGCCGCTCTCCGCTTTCGAGTCCCTGCCCATGAACTTGCCCCACTTCGACGCGGGCCGCTTTGGCATCGCCTTTGGCGGCTCTACGGTGGGCACTGGCGGTTGCACGGGGGCGGATTCCTGCTTCGCGTCCTGCGACAGCGTCGTCTCCATGACGATCTTTTGCGCTTCGGAGGGCGTCGGTGTCGACGGGGTGCTGTTCGCCGCACTATTATTGTTGCTATTAGAGCTGCTCGGACCGCCGAGAAGTTTGCCCCACTTAGAGCCCATCGCCTGCGGTCGATGTACCATCGGCACCGACTTCGGGGTGGGTGTACTCGATTTGAGTGATAACACAGGCGAGTCTTCGGAGACATTGACGAGGTGCGCCGTCTTCGGACTGTCGGCTGCCCCGGGCGGCAGCGGCGTCATCCGATCGCCCTTCTCCGGATCCTTGAGGTCACCGTTGCCGGTCATCGGTCGGATGACGTTTGCGTCGCTGACCTTTCTCAGACGCGAGAAAATCTTGCGCACGAGATGGTCCTCGCTGGGATCGAGTCCCGGTTCCTTCTTCAGTCGCTCGTCTAGTTCCCGTTCTTTCTTCAGATCGGCGACCTTTCGAAAAACGAGCTGCCGGAAGAGGAAACAGACAACGTCACGCGTGTCACGTTAGTATTTAATCGGGAAATGACTAATAACTAATAACGCTGCATGGAAGGATGCGATGCTACTAGAATTAGATCATCTGGTGGCAGTGTCGTAAATGAATGATTATATTGCAGGAAATAATTACGATAAGAGCGTGTTTATCGCTTCTCGCTTTTCAATAGACTCGATGTTTATGTCCACACCGTAATTCCCCACTCACTGCAGACGTTTCAACAATGTTTGTGCGCGCGTGTGTTTATGCGCGTGCGTGCGTGTACTCGCGCGTGTGTGTGCATAGTTTTAATATTTTTGTTTTCTTTCTCTACAAATTAAGCAAGCGGCGATCGATCGGCGGTTGCGTAGTGTTGTGGATATTGGCATTTTGCGGAGATCTTCCAATGCTGCTCGGGGTAAATACTGAAAATATTTACAATGCGCATATATACACAACCAATAGCGAATATTTCTCGACGTCTCCGCGTAGTTTCACTGTATATCTATATTCGACGTATTCGTAATTTACGTTAGCGTAAAATACGATGGTCAGATAGCGGTATGGTATCAAGTTCTAGAGACGACGTGATAGTCTGGGGCTTACATCCTCGCGGTCTCTATTGCAAATCGCTGGGCTGCAGGCGCCAGCCTACGCTTACGTCCGAAAGAAAATTGAGTATCGAGATCGCATATAAATTCCCCATCATACATCAAACGTCAGAAAATGAAGCTTTTAAACCTTCAGGCGGTATAGCAATACTATTTTAGGCTTTCTTCGGTACTGCAAGTTTCCCGCCGCGTGTATATGCCTTCATCTGCACTAACGATCTCTGTTCTCGAATCGCGTGACGTCATAGAGAGAGATCAGCGTTGTATGACTCACTAGATTATCGCAATACATAATAATAATTAACTCTCGGCAACAATAAAAAATCATTGAAAGCTTACGCGCATTTAGACTGCCGGGTCAATGCGCATTACTTAATGTCTACAGTTGTTAACTCGTCATTCAAGTAAACTTAATTTCGGCTTTTTAAAATGTGGTATAGTAGGCCTAAAGGTGACATGAAAAATAGTTTACGGTTCAACATTCAAAAGAATGGTTCTTTATTTTGTCGTCGTCGTTTACTAAAAAGAAATCGTAATATTGAATGAGCAACGTTAACCCTGCGATGTTCGCGCATCAGATTTTATATACGGAAAGATTTATCCAATTATATTCATTTAATCTTGTGTAACACATGTTGTTTCACTTTCTTGCGCGAACGTGATGTTTATAACTTAATCTACGTCTACATTCGACCGAATATAACGGATATAATTACGTTCTAGGTAAAATCCCACTTCTTTTCCTAGATGAGTACCATCTCCACTTTCTAAGAAATCCCACTTCACGGTAACCCAAGAATTTGTCGCAAGAAGTCTTATGTCCGGCGCACACTTGAGTTATTTTACTCAAGTAAAATGACGCATGAGTCATTTTACTCACGTGTGCGGCGGATTTTCGTTGAGTAATTTGCTTTGACACATGCGTCATTTTACTCACGTGTGCGGCGGATTTCGTTGAGTAATTTGACTCGTGCGTCATTTTACTTGAGTAAAATAACTCACGTGTGCGCCGGGCATTATGTTGCTGCAGGTATCTGAACATTGCTACGAACCTCGAATCCGGACGTGCGTATGGAACTGGCACAAGAACGTGGCCCAGCGATACACGCAGACGCTCGCCTATCTCATCGTACGATGACTTTGACAGCGGCCTGCTACACCCGGATCTACTTTTACGTGCGGGAACATCGCCTGAAAGGTGACCTGCCACCGTTTCCGTTTCCGGGTTAATTATCGCATTCGAATCCGCCGAGTTCGTAGTGTGACGTCTGACGTCATCGTTAGTTTAATGTGCGCGTATTTGTTGCCTAGAATGTTGCCAGCTAAGACGATATTTGTGCGCAAAGATTAAGTATCTGTTGTTTAATAAAACGCATAATGTCACTAGCATCGTCAGAAAGGCAAGAATCAACGCAATGCACCAAAGTAGTGGTATAATAACAACTATAGTTAGAATATTTTTTTCAATTAGTATTGCGCATTACCTGCCGCGATGTTCAGAACGTGGTTTGGTTATAGTCCAACCACACACTAATTACACAAGATTCACCTTGGGTATTTTTAATTCGCTTTACAACTTTATTCGAATACATGTCCACGA